TGATTATTAGACCCTTTCCAAGACTAATCTTCAGGAAAAGACAATAAAATCACTTTTAAAATAAACTATTTTTATTGAAACCTTGAGAACAAACACTGAGCAAAAATAATGCAAATTATCATGTGAAATCAAAAGTCAAATGAGGCCTTTATTCACAGACGTCCTCTACCTTGCTGTACTCACTCTCATGCTGCTGCGGTCCTGGTGTATCATCAGATCGCTACACCTGCCGTCTCCTCCCATTGAACATCATCCTTGCTGCCATCCAAGGCATCAATGCATGCAACATTTGACACCTCTGCTTAAATGAACACCATCAAATTCACATAACTCTGCCTTAGTAGCCCCACTTTCCAGACCTCTCGTGTCCATTTTTTTCTCCTGTTGAGAACATACAACCTGGCGCCCTCTGTTGTTACGGGCGTGTAATGACTCCAGACAAATAACAGCATGTTTGAACGCTAAAGCCTGATTTATAATTTCGTCTGCATCAGTGCGGAGACACGCAACGCCATTATGCATCGGCGCTAGGGCTCTCCGACAGGCTCACAGAGGGAGACATGCCCAAAACTTTAAACATCCATCGAACTCTGTGAAGGAGACCACAAGCTTGTGATTGGTTAGGACACCGCTTCCTGTATATTCGTCACCAGCACCGCTGTAGCTCAGTTAATGTAAACTGATATTTAGCAGCAGACCTAGAACAGAACACATCACAGAAAAAGCCTGAAAATATGAACATTTATTCACCCGTGAGTGAAGGATTACAGCATATGGAGCAAACGTGGACGGAAACAACGGAAAATGTGGGTTTAGATGTGGTGACTGCATGAAGAGGTGGATGAGAATGAAGGACAAATTTGTCCGTGTTATAAAGTCTCAGAAACTTATAAACTATGGGTGGGACTTTAACGCGTTAATTATGATTAATTAATTAGAAAAAAATGACACGTAAAAAAAATCACGCAATTAATTAAAGCTTGAAATTCAAAAAGACGGGATCGTTGTCTTTGCACGATTTCTGGGTTTGCCGATTTCACCGACACACACAACAAAGCAGCCTTGCTCTGCTACTAAAATAGAAGATAAGTGTCTTGCTTGGACTGATGCAGCGTTTGGGGAAACACGTTGGCCCCTTGTTTTAACTTGTAAAAAAACGTTCTGATAACTACGGAGTCCATCACATGGACATTTTTAAGAGACTGTCTCTGATTTCACTGCTGCTGCTCGCATGCAGCGCTTGTTTTATTGATCTGCGCACCTGAACATTTATAAAGTCAAGGTAAACTAAACTCCTAATCTAGTAACATTTGTGCAGCTGTAACATCATCAGACGGAATTCTGTTTTGCTTTTAGCAGTAGTTTATGAAAGTAGTCAGACCAGCTGGGGAAATGCTCCGTGTTCTCACTACTTAAACAGTCAAACAACGTGTCTTAAAGCAACAGTACTACTCCTAAAACTTTCTTATAATTTCTAAACAATTCTGTCAGTTTACTATATTTTTCTGAGACGAGTGACTGTCTATCTCCTCCGTGAACCGTCACCTTATCGTGGTGGAAGAGTTTGAGTGCCCTAATGATCCTATGAGCTATGTTGTCTGGGGCACTTTGTGCCCCTGGTAGGGTCTCCCATGACAAATTGGTCTTAGGTGAAGGGTGAGACAAAGAACGGTTCAGACGGTCTTTCATGGATGTACAATCGAAGAGTCGGAGTACCCGGCCCGGAGGGTTGCCGGGGTCCCACCCTGGAGGCAGGCCTGTGGTTGAGGCATGTAGGCGAGCACCTCGTGGCCGGGCTTTCGCTCATGGGGCCCGGCCGGGCACAGCCCAAACCAGATACATGGGCTCATCCAACTGTGGACCCACCACCAGCAGGAGGAATATGAAGTGTCCGGTACAATGTGGATCTGGTGGCAGACCAAGGCGGGAGCCTTGGCGGTCCGATTCCCAGACAAGGAAACTGGTTTTTGGGACATGTAACATCACCTCGCTGGCGGGGAAGGAGCAGGAGCTTGTGGCAGAGGTTCAGCGGTACCGGCTAGATATAGTCGGACTCACCTCAACACATAGCATTGGCTCTGGAACCCAAGTCCTTGAGAGGGGTTGGACACTCTCCTTTGCTGGAGTTGCTCCGGGTGAGAGGCGGAGGGCTGGGGTTGGCTTTTTGCTAACCCCAAGACTCTCTGCCTGTGTGTTGGGGTTTACTCCGGGGGACGAGAGGGTTGCTTCCCTGCGCCTTCGGGTTGGGGAATGGGTCCTGACTGTTGTTTGCTCTTATGGGCCAAATATCAGTTCAGAGTACCTACCCTTTTTGGAGTCCCTGGGACGAGTGCTAGATAGTGCTCCATTAGGAGACTCCATTGTCCTGCTGGGGGACTTCAATGCTCACGTGGGCAATGACAGCTTTACCTGGAGGGGTGTGATTGGGAGGAACGGCCCACCTGATCTGAACTCGAGTGGTGTTTCATTATTGGACTTCTGTGCAAGCCGCAGTTTGGCCATAACAAACACCATGTTCGAACATAAGGATGCCCATCGGTACACTTGGTACCAGGGCAGCCTAGGTCGCTGGTCGATGATAGACTTTGTAGTCGTATCATCTGACCTGCGGCCGTATGTTTTGGACACCAGGGCGAAGAGAGGAACGGAGCTGTCAACTGATCACCACCTGGTGGTGAGTTGGATCAGATGGCAGGGGAAGATGCTGCGTAGACCTGGCAGACCCAAACGCATAGTGAGGGTCTGTTGGGAACGCCTGGCAGACGCCTGAGCCGTTCTGTCGTTGTGAAGAGGGAGCTGAGCCAGAAAGCCAGGCTCTCGATTTACCGGTCGATCTACGTCCCAATCCTCAACTATGGTCATGAGCTTTGGGAAATGACCGAAAGAACGAGATCGCGGATACAAGCGGCCGAAATGAGTTTCCTCTGTAGGGTGGCCGGGCTCAGCCTTAGAGATAGGGTGAGGAGCTCGGACATTCGGGAGGGACTCTGAGTAGAACTGCTGCTCCTCCGGATCGAAAGGAGTCAGTTGAGGTGGTTTAGGCATCTGGTCAGGATGCCTCCTGGACGCCACCCTGGGGAGGTTTTTCAGGCATGTCCTGCTGGCAGGAGGCCCCCGTGTCGACCCAGGACACGTTGGAGAGGTTACATCTCCAATCTGGTCTGGGAACGCCTTGGGGTCCTGCCGGAGGAGCTGGTGGAGGTGGTCGGGGAGAGGACGGTCTGGAGCTCCCTAGTTGGGATGCTGCCCCCGCGACACTGACCCGGATAAGCGTAGGAAGACGACGACGAGTGACTGTCTATGCTTTACGTGCGATACTATAATTCAGCTGCAACGTGTGTCGAAGCAGTCGTCGGCCGATCGGCGCTAAAGAGTCGAATGTTAAAATGCAGGGCCAGTGAGGAATAAGGAAGATGTGATCAGGTCGCAGACTTGGAGACCCGCAGATTCGCTGCTGCAGGTGTGAATCTGCAGGTCTGCAGCTATACCCTTCTTGATGTAAGAGTGGGACTTCCCATGTAAGGAATGACGTCAGATCATTAATTCAGTCATTAATTCCCAACTGTGTCTAAACCCAGCTTCAGCACTTCCTTGTCTGGGTCTGACCCAAGTTTGTAAATTTAAGTCCTCCATCAGATTTGTGCCTGTTCTAGTGTCATTTATAAGGATTTTTATTGATATATAACATATGCTTTTACTAGATTATGAGTAGTAGAAATGCTAATAAAAACCCCAATTATACATGAATGAAACAGAAAAAATTAGAATACGGTGCAAAAGTCCATTTATTTCAGTAATTCAACTAGACTGAGCCCATTTAAAGGGTCACCTTTGCAGGTGTTTTCTATTTGCAATTATGAGTTTTAGTTGATTGGGGTTTTGTTTCATATGACACTGACATTTCAATTCAATTCAATTCAATTCAATTCAATTCAAAAATACTTTATTAATCCCAGAGGGAAATTGATAGCTGTAGTAGCTCAGAATAATAATAATAATCAAGTCATCAAAGAGTTGTTGTATATTACAATGGCTGTTGACAGAAAGGATCTCCAGCAGCGGTCAATGTTGCAGCGAAACTTAAGAAGCCTCTGACTGAAGGCACTCCTGTTGTCGGACAGTCTTGTGAAGAGAATGCTCAGGGTTGTCCATCATTTTCTTGATTCTCTGGAGAATCCTTCTTTGCATTATCTCCTCCAGCGGTTCCGAAACTGCCGAAACTCTGGCTGAGTCCTTGAAAGGGCTTGGAGTTCCTCCATCTTGTTGGCCTCTTGTTGAATAATTAAAAAGCATTGTTTTTTTTTTTTTTTTCCAGAAATTAAGCGCTTGACTTAACCAAAATAATATCCTTGTCTAGCGTTTGATTCTCTGCCTTCTTATTTTTTTATAAAAATTGTTTGGTGTCAAATTTTCATGAATGATTAAAATGTGATTAATTACAAAACCTCTAATTAATTAGATTCATTTAAAAAAATAATATAAACACATTAGTAAATACACTATTGGGGACTGGACACATGAGTGTTATGGTGGCAGGAAACCACAGAAAAACACTATGTCCTCTTTTGTCCTGGAAGGGAATTGTTTTGCAACGCCCTGCTGCCTGAACAGAAGTTGGAATGTGAAAACCTTTCCGATACTCCGTGTGTGCCTCTCCGTTGCGGAGCTCACGGAGAAGTATAAATCAAGCTTTAGACTACGATTATAAGACCCTACATTTAAATTTATTTTTGATGGAAAAAAACCTCGTACTATATTCGGGTCAATACGGAAGTTAGATACATTTGAAAATTGTGCTCCCAGGGATTTTTGACCCTGATGGCCATCTGTTGGTAAGGTTTTACTCAAACATGATAATACAGATTGTTTGCAATGATTTAGGTATGAACAGCCCCATCACCTGGGAAAATAGGCACTTGAATAAATTATTTTTTTTTGTCTTGGTGAGAACAGCAAAGCAAAACCACCTTTTATTTGATCAAGTCACAAAGACACACCACTTTAAACATTGATATCTTTTTATTAAGACAAGTACTCTTCTGATTTTTTTTTCCTTTTGTAAAAATGTTGGTGCGAACCAATACAAAATATGTATGGTCATGTGAGAAACATCCTCTTCACTACACAAAGAAATAAAATGTCACCGGAAAAGTCCTTAAGATCCAAAAAAACCCAAAGGCTTCCCCCGTCCCTGCCTCTCACCCTCCCACCCTAAAGGGAAATTAAATTGAATCCAAATATCCAAGAAGTTACAGATCATTCAATAAACTTCATGTCACAGTAAATACACCATCTTCGATTATGGAAAGTAATGTGTGGGTCAGTGGAATGCGAACTGGACTGACTGGCTGTGATCACATCCTATAATAATTACTAAATAACCAATACCGTATGAGCGAGATGTGACTGTGGAAGAAGACGTTTCATCAACATCGTAGTGATTTCGTTAACACTGACTGTACATCGGTTTCGTCTGCTTAACAAATCTAGTTGTCTTTGTGAACTAGTTCTATGCAAAATAATTAACATTTACTGTTAACAGTGCACCATATTAAACACAGAAACATGTACAACTGAGAGGAAAAACCATGTACACCTTGTGATTTCTTTTTAGTTAGCTGTGGATCTACAATATATACTCGGGGCTTAAAGTTTGCATTCTACCTGAGATGCAAAAAAACACAACTATTAACACTCATAAACCTGAGAGAGCAAAGAAAAAAAAACATACTAAATATGTCCCCCCACCCCGCCCCAAAAACAAAAATTGTCCATTTTTTGAAACATTTTTTAGGAGAAACCATTAAAAGCATTAATTACCTTTTTTAAATATGAAAATATGAATATCAAAGCCCAGAATAGTTGTCATGCTTATTGTTATTTCCATGACAGCATATTTCTACAATCCTCACTTAAATAAAAAAAAAATTTCTAGGTTATTAATATTATAGCCGTAATCGCTGTATTATAGCCTTACCCTGGAAATATCCTAATAAAAATCAAATGCTGTGAATCTGGTTAGGAAAATAAATTCTGGTAACACTTTACATTTTTAAACATTAATTGTTGCATTATTAATCAAAGCTTAATAGAGTCCCTTTATTAACGTTCCTAAGTGTCCTTAAGGTTAGGAAAATGGGCCGAGGGGGTATTTGCTTAGTTATGCATCATGCAATTGCTAATACTGTACTCAATAGTTTATTAATTCTTAATAATGATTAAGTAACATTAATAAAGGGACCCTTGTTATAAAGTGTTACCAAAATTCCAGCCAAACTATTTTTTTTGTCTCAACTGAGTTGTGGCAAACACCTCCCTGAATAGACAAAGAAATCCCCTCCTTTGAGACTGAGCTAAATATTGTCTATATTTAGGAGATCCTACCTGGTATGTAAGTCTATGGGTGTTTGATTACAGACAACTTGGCTGATTATTGGCCTGAAAGACCAGACATATGTACAAGATATACTGTTGGAGTCTAACCATATGCCTCAAAGATTGTAGAAGGCACTAAAACTACGTCCTTCATGTTTTCCCCCTTTTTAAGTATCAACATTTTAAGGCAGTGGCTACCCATTTTCTATTTACCAGTCCAGGTATGTTTTTTTTATTTTTATGATTTTCTAATTGTATTGGTAAATATATCTACGGTATATATTCTCTTGCAAATTACCAAGAAGTTTTTATTTAATTTTTTTATCTGAGCTATGAGTCAAGAATTCACGTCGTCCATTTGGGTCGGTGGAGAAAGAGAAATTAGCAGCACCAAATAGCTTTATTGTGAAGGTTTGAAGCTGCGACATGAGAGAGAGAGAGAGAGCTGAATTCTTAAATTGTATACAGATATTTTAGATTTCTCTTTTGACCTTAGAGAAATTCAAAGCTGGCCCTAAGATGGAATGTTTGAAGAGATTTGCTGTGACTGAATTTTTTAACCTTATATACAGGCGAGGGCATAAAAAAAATTAATATTAAAAGAAAAAAATCTTCTGAGCCATCTGTAAATTTGTTATTGATACTTTATACATGAATAAAAGTAATCTAGTAGCGTCTCATGGGCACAACACAAAGTTAAGTCTAGAAAAACAATTACCGTAAATCCTCTAATACAGGCCCGGGCCTGTATTTGACTCAAGCTCATCAAGCTCCAGGCCTTTATTGGAAGGAGGGCCAGTATTAGAGGCAGGCCTCTATTTCTATTTGAGCAAAATGAACTAATGGTTCGCTGGAGTTTTTGACAATTAAAAGTGCGCCCACATTTTCAAAGTTAAACACATTTCTTTTAACAACGGTAGTTCCTGCTTCAGCCCTCTCCCCCCTCCCCCTGCGCAGCACCGCAAACTCACTGATGCGCCTGCAGCCTCTCGGAGTTCCTGCTGCTCTAAACATTAAAATAATTAATTCATTTTCTGTTCCTCACTTCTGATTACCTTCAATGGTGTCTGTTTGTTGCAACAGCAGGTACAAAAACTAACTTGTTTTTATTTGACTATTTTTCTGTCCTGTCTGTTTATTATCTTCCTGCATCTCCTCTCAATCCTAAAGAAAAACTGCTACCTGGGTTCATATATATTCACCTCATGAGTTACCTTTGAACTGCAGTTCTAAAAGATCTACCGACCGCAAAAACAGCGGAGCGCTTGCTGTTTGGCGGCTGTATCAGTGATCAGTGCGTCGGAGGACAAGGTGATAAGCGCAGCGTCCCGCTCCACAGCATGCAGCGAAACACATCAGGCGCAAATAAAAGACAGAAAACATTAAAGGAAATGAACTGACATGAACGATCGCGTGTTAAATTAGTTTTTGAGGTGGCGACACCTGATTGTTACTGTGGCCGTGCTCAGGAGGCAGATCTACCGACCGCGAAAACAGCTGAGCGCTCCCTGCTGTGATCTGTGTGTCGGAGGACAAGTTGATGCGCCCCGCTCCACAGCAGCGATACACATCAGGCGCAAATAAAAGACAGAAAACATTAAAGGAAATGAACCGACATGAACGATCGCGTGTCAGTACCTACGGTCTGGCACTTGAGTTTTACCCCCAAAAAGAGAATCTGATCATACGATAATTCAATAGGGAGCGTGGTTTCACAGACGCGGAAGTGATAGCGTCGGTGCTCTAGGAAACCCCCGAGCGTTCGAGCGTCAACAAAGTGACACGGAAATGCCGGGCTTTCCAGAAGTAAGTAAGATAACTTACTATGAGCTGATAGTTCGTTGGATTGATCGGTAGGTTGGAAACTCTGATCGTGAATCTGAAGAAACGATGACTGAGTGGTGAGCTGGAAAGGCGACTTCCGTTTATAGCCACGGTTTGTGACGTAGGTGCGACGTGAAGGGAATCCCCGCGAGGGGCATGCTGGGAGTCCCTACTTCGCGGATTTTCACCTATCGCGGCCAGGTCTGGAACGCATCTACCGCGATAAACGAGGGATTGCTGTAGTTCATACACCCCCTACTGCTGCTCCCCAGAGTGTTCTGCAGCATAATCAGCACGTTCTCTTTGAACTTGATAGTGTAATGACCTGGCTGGGGTTGTAAGCCAGGTGCATTCTGGGTATTGTGTTATATGTGTTTCCTATCGTTCTGCTAGTTCCTATGTGCTGATTTGCGTGTTGTGTGAGTGTTGTGTAAGCCACAGTGAAGGTGATGTGTGTTCTGTGGAGCGGGTTGAATTAGCATGGTTAACTGACACCGTGACTCTGTGTGGTAGGAGCGTGATAGAGGATCGTGTCTGTAGCGTTACAAAGCCTTGAAGAAAAGGCCTAAGAAAGGTCTGCGTGAACTTCTACTGCCTCCTGCTGGTTGATTTGGGGACTATAACCCTGCCGCTGGGACGCTCGTACTTGCTTGTTACCACATTCCACCCAAGAGACCGGCCATTATTTGCCTCCGCTGACTCAGACACCGGCCAGAATTGGAGACCCGGCCTTTAATTGAATACCGGCCTGTATTAGAGGATTTACGGTAAAACAGGTTTGGTTAACATTTTTGAGCTGAATAATTAGATAATCAGATAAAAATTGTGTTAAAGGTGTGGAACACTGAAAAACATTCTTTATTATTTCTGATTATAATCAGCCACTCTGATTTTTTCATTCAAGTTGAACATGAAAATAGTCTCCTACACCTATCTTCTGTGTTAGCTTCTGACAGAAAACGGACGGTGAATCTCTAGGATTTAAAAATCCTGACAGAGCTACGTCACACTCTCACTTAATATTCATGGACTCACTCATCTTGACCCATGACAGAGAATGCTGTTGTTGGTTTAGCATCCAGGAAACAGAGAATGTGTAGGCTAGTAGAAGCTAACTGTTAGCATTAGCAACTCAACAACATTGAACAACCCTTCCAGGCCTGTGTTATTGGTGGAGATGAAACATCGACATTGTGAAGCAGAGTCAGTGGTAGAGCCATGTTGCTGTTATCCAATCAAAGACGAGATGTCAAAATATTAGAGAACAAGACTACAAATCCTTTTCTAATGCTACTCTCTTCTCCAAGCTGAAACGCACTTCTGGGCACTCCCACACCCCCGAGTACGACTTACAAGGCATTTATCTTTACTAGAGACCACTGCAAATGTATTGATTAAACACGTTTTCCACACCTTTAAACATTTGAGTTTGGACCTGTGAAACCTAGCATTGTTCAAGTAATATTTACTAAATATTTACACTCAAATGCTCCTTACATTTGGTCCAAAAGTTGACCATCTAAATGGATTTATGGTCAGTGAACCAACTGCCTCTTTTTTGGCGTCATAATATAATCTGACTATTCTGACAGACTGTCTTTAAAGGGAAACAGGACACAGTGACTCTGATTCTGTTCATATGTAAAATTCCATGTGCCAATAAAGGTCCTTTTTGAATAAGTCTCTTCCTTCAGTCGTAATGCTAAGTAGCTGTTACCTATAACTTTTACAGATGCATTAAATCGGACGTAGATTCCAGCTATTACAACAGGATTGATTTGTTAGCAAAAGAAGCAAAAACACGTTCCAATACTTTTTCATAATTACCTGTAAATGATTATTTGAAATACTAAACAGCTCTGATTTGCAAAATCAAACTGAGTGCAGATGCAGCTGCCTAAGTCTATCGTGGGCATTCGGAGGGTGTTATTAAACCAGATGTGCTGCTGTGTAATCTACTCACAGAGACGGTAAAGAATAAGCCAGAGAGGAAATCAACGGCAGAAAAAGACACCAAATATTGACGTTTCAAAATAAAACATTAGCACACTCCGCAACACTGACAAAACCAGCAGTACCAGGTTAGATGCAGAGAATTGTTCATCAAATAAACTAAATGTTTAATGGCACCATGCACATTTATTTTTCAATAAATAGAGCCTGTAGAAATAATCACTGAATTTGGATTAAAAAGAGTCATTTTTACAATGGAAATATGTACGACTTGCCTGTTGAGTTTGACTCGTGCAGTCAGGCTAATAAAGCGATCAGATTCTGATGTGATTTAAAGCATCATGGAGGAAACTTTATGAACCTGGTCCCAGAGGAGTTCTGGCTGTAAAAGTCAGGGCTTGAAATCACTAAAGGGTCAGCTGCAGCTTGTGGCCTGGTTAGAGCACATATAACACAACTCCTGTTTCAGTTTTATGAGCGAATACATTCTAAGATAGGCATGATTACTCAAAGCGGTTACATAAGTAATCAACGTTGAACATGAGTTTGAAGAGACCGTGTGCCGTCGGAGCAGGGATTCGTCGAAACCAATCAGACCTGCATTTAAATGTGATGAACTTGCAGGCACCACAGGACTTGGACCCAGCAGGGAGACATGAGTTGACACTGTGTTTCGTTTACTAAACTCTGGAGATCCCAAAACAAAAAAATAAATAAAGAAAGAAAGAAAGAGGGAGAGAAATGTGCATGAACTGGCTTCTCAGATCTGGTAACATGAGCTAAAAGCTAACTGCAGCACAAACAGACAAAACACCAGACCCATCTTATCTCCTCTGAAAGCCAAAAGCAACAAAAGATCAAGGAGAAAAATTCAACCAGACAAGCATGGGAAAGAAAAAATAAAACAACAAAACCAACAAAAAAAAAAAAAAATAGAACAAGGCACAAAATTTTCTGTAAAACAATTAAACTGTACAGAATAGGACCCAGCAGTCCAGGGCAGGTCAGATAGGAGACTAAGCAACACCTCTTCTCACCGCGTGGCCATGCCAGTCCTACTTTCCGACTTTTTCCTTCCACCCTCTAACCCGAGCTGTCTCGTCACCAGTCAGAGTTGGACACAATCCTCCCACAGCGCCACCCCCTCCCATCCTTCTCTCCAGTTTAGATGTAATACTCCTTCTTCTCGTCTGAGTTGTTGTGTCCACCTTCTGCATTAATGATCGCCGTGTCTGCATCAGCTGCATCGTCTGCTCCTTTGGCTTCATGTGTGAAGTAAGTTCCTGCAAAAAGAGGACAGACAGATTATCACCACGCTTTATCTAACTCATCTCTTCAACTTCGATGCACATTTGCAAAAAAAGCATTTAAATTCATAACTTATGTTCAAGCAAGTATGACTGTATTTCTGGTGGTTTTACCTTTGTGTCTGGCGAAGTATCGACCAAGAACTATGAGCGCACAAAGGATCGCAAACATCACAACAGCAACCACTCCCCCAATAACAGCATGGTCAATCTTTGGTGGTGTTCCCTCTCCGGCTCTGGGGTCTAAAACAAGAAAAAGGACGATGACTAAAATGAATGTTCTCATTAGGAAAAAAAAAAACCATTTAGCCAGAAACAGTGCTACAAGTCTGGTCCACAGAGATGCAGATTCCTGTGAATGCTGGGGTGGTTTAGTTATTAGTTTGCCAAAAACAAACTTAGTTGGTCGTGTCTCAAAGCATTTAGGCAAGGACAAACTAAAAAAGTTGAAATATTTAAAAAGAATATTCAGAAATATGAAAACTCTTAAAGAAAGCCAATTAAACTTTGTTTTGTGTTGGAAAGTGGTCAACATAATGGTGATGGATCATTTACAATATAGATACATGTGTATGTATACATATAGGGCAGCAGTAGCTCGGGAGGTAGAGCGGATGGTCCAGTAGCCGGATGATGCCTGCTGATGGTAGCCGGAGGGACTGGTGGTACCAGTGCACGGCAGCGGCCCCCGCTAGTGCACCCCAGGGCAGCTGTGGCCACTTGGCAGCTTGGCTGCCTCATCACCACCAGCATGTGAATGTGTGGATGAAAGCAGGAATGACTGTTGTAAAGCTCCTTGGGGGGTTTCTAGGACTCTAGAAGGCACAATATCAAATATAGACCATTTACCCATTACCATATCTCTTTTCAACCAACATGCTTTTCACAAAAACATTTAAAGGTTCAGTCACCCCCACACTTCCTGTTTGAAAAGTGCACCTAAAGGAGGGGTCGCCTGGTGGTCCGAGAGGGAGCCACTGAGGCAGTGAGCGACAACTTTTTGGACGATTTTCAAAAGACGCGAGACGCAAAACTTGGTGACCAAAAAATCTGCAGATATAATAGTTTTGGTCTTACAATATTTGATATGTGGTATTATGACAAAAACCTTACAAAACACATGAATAGATTTCTCACATAAACATTTCCGGTCAGACTGGAAATCTCGTGATTTTCCACATGACTTCCGAGTAAATACAGCGAAAGATGGAAGAGTGCTGCATGCTGTCACGTTCTGATTGGCTACACATCACATTCAACAGTTGTTTATCTTTGAAAATCAGTTTAAGATAATCCAACACATCTGATCAATCTGATTTATGATTAGAGCAGTCGTGAGAGCTCTCAACACACCACACACATCAAGATATCCGATAAGATTATCTTTAGAGCCATTACAGTTATCAGGCATGCTCTTAAGATTCTTGGGAGGGCGGTATCGGGTCAAGAGTTGATGTGATTACCTTGTCGCGTGAACTGGGCTTCAGTTGTTCTGACACACCAGTTTGAACTAAAGAATCCTTAAGATGATTTATTCCTTTGTAGCAGGTGTATTGGAGCTTTAACACCTAAAATTTCAAACAATTAAAGCCTTTCATCCACTGCTTGAGCAGGTTGTCACATGTTCAGATTGATGTGTGTGATGTTACTCTGTTGGACCCGTCGTTTTACCTGAACATCGTCAGCGCTTTAAAGCTGCCCCCGAAATCCTTGAGTGAGCATGGTTGAAAAATGTTTTAAGACAGTTAATTCACCATGAAACAGTCGACAGTGTCTGCAGTTTCGGCGAGAATTCACACTCTTTAAGATACGCTGTGATTTAAGAGGCCATTTCTGGAAGTTATAGAGCTCAATCATCAGAAAGAGACACGTCTGGAGATAAATTGGCACCCGGTGTCCACATGTGAAGAAATACATGGCTGCCTCAGGTGTCAGAGAGTATCACTGTCCAGCACTTAGCCAGATTTATCCGTGCACCAAAGAAGAACACGGCAAAATCTGAAGCCTTTAAATTTCTAGTACTGGAATAGTTCAGAGGCATTTATCAATAGTCTATATCTGTGCACATTTGGACTGATTGGGGAGTGATGGGTGAGGGAATGGCTGCACTGTTCTTTGCTGCATGAGAGAGCAGCTCAATTTTCCATCAATTTCACTAGTCACGCTCTGAACTTGAGTGATTTTGATAAGATGAGCTGAGAGGGCAGAATTTCTAAACGCCGTGGAGGCGTAATTGAAGGGTCCGAAATACGACGGAGTCCCATCTCGGCCTAAAAACACCTTTTTCATGCTGCACACTCCCTGGATGTTGGACATATTCCTACAGTGAAACTAATTAACAAGAAAAGTTTGTTGTTTCACTTGAGCGCCCTCTTAAAATGTATTAATCATCGCGGAGGGCACCGTTGTCGTCGTGTGTGAGGCAGGGGTGTACAAGGCGCAGTTTGTTTACTGTATCAAGGACGTCACAAAGCACAGCTCTTTCCCAGACGAGATGAAATGGCCCGTGCTCCATGCTAATGAACATGCTCCCCACTAAACAGCCTGTGCACAGTCCTGTCTCATTTTCCCTCCGTTTTTCCCCTCCACCCCGCCCGACCTCACCTTGCTCACCCCTGTCTTTTCGTTTGACACGTCCAGAAGGAAACATGCAGGGTCTTGGCTGCCTCAGAGTACCGGAGAAGGAGTTTGATTTAACAGGCATACAAATTCACCAGGAGTCAGCAGCAAGACACGATCACACAAAAAAAAGTCAAACAATAACAGAAACCAACAGTATGTTTGGCTGCATTTCATGTTTCCTGCATTACCTACACAACTGAACTCTCGTTTTTTATTTACCAGTTTTGTTCATTGCAAAAAATATATATTTTTTGTAAAATTCAACATGACTTCATGCATGCAGTAAACATCGTTGCCATGCTCATTTTGATTCATTTTGTGGTCCTGATGCTGCACGCAACTTATTGTAAAGCGATTATGAGATGTGTTTGGAAATGCCACGCTGAGGTCCTAAGTGCATTGTAAGATGATTTAAATGTAAAGGTCAGTAGTCATGAGTACTGAGCCTGGAGCACATTTACACAAACATATTCAGTGCAGCACGTAAGGATAATATGTCAGACAGGGTGAGAATATGCTGCTGGTTGCTTAATGGTAAATGTGAGTAGCATTTTATAAAAGTTTGCTCATGTTGGAGAAAGAAAATAGTCTCCTCTACCTGTGGACTTATATTGTAATGAAGAACGTTTTACAAATGTTTCTGTGAGATCTGCACTAAACTGGAAACGTTTTGACAGCTTACTATTTTTTCAACACATCAAATAGGCAGTTTTGATGCATTGTGTAATTGTAAAGCAACACATAAACACAGTTAACTGTTATGTTTTGCTGCATTTAGTACTACAAATAAATAAAAATGCGGCTCAAGATTTTTTTATTTCCATTCATTAAGGAAAATAAAATTTTATACCTAACAGTATTTAGAGTAAATAATAAATATGCAAATCTAAATCTTAACTAAATACAAAGTGACTGTTCAGCTGATATGTCAATTAAACTGCTCTACAACAGAAGTAGCCTTTCAAAATAACATTTTGGGATCTCTTTTCCAGCTTGTGAGTAATTTTTGTATAAGAATGTGTGAGTGAACTTTAGCACGAATCATTTATCTGTGTTTGTGTCGTGATTGTACCTGCACATTTATAAAAAGATCAGTGGGTAAACAGACTCACAGTCTTGGATATGTTTTCACCATGCTTTTATTTTGGCAGGTTATTTCAGGTTTGAATTGGAATTTTAGTTAAATATTTTCTGTAAAATCATCACATTTACATTTTGATTGAGATATAGATGTAACTTAATGTTTAATTTTTTATTCTAAATAAATTAAAAATAAATCTATTTTTAATTTTATATTTTTCCTCCTAAACATGAATCTAAACACAAAATAGAACTCTGTTTAGATTTTTATAATAGTTTTATGTTTTTATTTATTAATTGTACAATCAGCACCCCATAGAGGCACTAAACCTTCCTGATTCATTTATTTATTTTTTACCTCAAATGTCGAGAACATCTGCTCTGAATGTTTTCTAGCCAGCAGTTTAATAATTGTGGAAGATCACCAAATATAACAGTAACTTATTTAAACCATAACTCTTTCAGAGTGTTTACTGCGATAAAATGTGCACACTGGAGACGGTTCACCACTCGCTCGGCAATACTGTGGATTCATTCAGAATTGATGGAAGGAAGAGAAAACGGTGTTATCAGGGAGCCTCATCTGCTGTTCTTGACATGTTGTAAACATGTCCAGCAGTAAGAGCCCCTCTGCAGCAAGAGCTCTCTGCTGTGATTAACACGTGTGAACAACAACTGCACGGAAAGTCCAGAGCGAACTGTCCACACAGTTGCCAGAAATGTCGGACGTTGATGTGTGGAAACAGCTATTGATTCAGAGAGCAAGAATTTCAGCAGGACCCAATTCCTTCAAGATGTTATCGGCTATTTGGTGACTTTGTCATGGAGTGGAGCTAAAGCCAGGACAGGACAGAGGCTAGGACAGCGGCTAGTACAGCGGCTAAGCTAATCCCCACAGAAGTCGATGCAGCTTAATGAACGTGGGAGGATCAAATAGATGGTGTTTCCTAATTAAGCATATGTGTTGTTAATGTTTAACTAAAACATACATGTGATCAAGATGAAAATAAGTGGCTTACATGCTTTAATTCACAGAATGTTTTTTGAAAATTTATTGATGCAATAAAACAACACATTCTCACTCCCAGCGCGTCAAAAACAAACGCTTGGTCATCCACCCTCCGCTTCAGACCCCCTGACGCCAAAAGTGCCCTTTTTCGTTACTTATGTGCGAAAAGGGGTTTTTCCCTTTTCTAAGTGCAGATCCCAATGCAGCATAAAACTGACGTGATGGGATATCCGCTGATGCGGCACCGAACCGCACCTAAACCATAACGTTTCACTATTTATAACCTTCCCCTCTCCCTCATCCTAACCTTAACCCTCTTGCTACCTGAAACGTTACTCTCACTGTGATCAAGCGTTTGTTTCCCACGCATTCTGACTGTCAATTTTCGTATTTGCCGCCCAAGGGGAACGTTAGAACATACCATCTGGCGAGGGGGAGGTTACAAATACCCTCTACTTTTAACCTCCACCGTGGTAGTTGAAACCTCCCCCTCGCGTTGGCTCGGTCCAAACCCGACCATTGACAAGGTGGC